AGAGTGTTTTCAGGAGAACTGAAACTGATAATGTATGTTAAGATTCTAAAATAGTGTCTAGCCATATAAACATAATGAATGAACCTAAGGAATGAAGTAAAGCTGGATGAGGGGGTGGGGTGATAATGTCTTGGCTTCATGGCCACTCCCCTTCCTCTTCCTGGTGCTCCATGGTCACATTTTGAACCCACTTGTCTTTTTCACATATATTGGATACTGTGTCATGTTCCATGTTTTATTGTCTTTTTTATTTCTATCCCCCCTTTATTTATCTTGTTTTTACTTTTTTCTTACCTATAAAAAATAAATTTTGGACAAATAAAATGCCAGACACACTGAATGAATGAATGAATGAATGAATGAATGCATCCTATGTGTTAATGTCTTTTGTAGGTCTGACTACAAGCTGGCTTTGAGAAACTGTCTATACTAGTCAGGATCCTTCTCCTTGAGGTGTGGCTACACTGCTACTTGCTTGTGACCACTGGTGGCTGGGTTGCCTTCATGGAAGTCTGATTCCTTTGCTCAAATCTGTTGCCATTTCTGTCTATTGTGCACTGAGACCACCTGTAGAGAAGATGATCCACAGAGCAATGCTTCTCATTAGCTCCAACTTGTCACCTCTCAAAGGCCAGATCTTTGGGAGATCCTTGTGTCCTTTAAAAGAGCTCTTGGCCTATCAGTTGGCCATAGTTGGGTGATATTCTTCAAATTGTTTTATGGAGCCATTGCAGGTGTCACTGTATTGGGTCTAAGCCTCAGTCCCAGGATCCCCTAATCTACCAGACAGCTTTAAAGACTGAAAAAGAACATTCCAGTTGGAGTCAGCTCTACAGGTTTATGCCTTCACACAAATGGTGGGCATACATGCTTTCATCAGGGCACAGGCTGACAAACTCACCTGGCATCACTGCCTGGTGCATTCATTGTTACAAGTAGCTCTTCTGCTTCCCTTCCTCATTAATAAACAATACCTGTATTCATAAGATGTTTTCTTCTTAGTGATAGAGTTCCTCTAAGGTCTAGGCCATAAATCCCCTAATACCGAATCCTTTTCTCACCTGAGCTATATTAAAAATACATTCTTTACTAAGGTCCATATAGTTCTGCCTGTATGAACTTCATAGGTAAGAGTACGGACTACTTATTGCATACTTTAGGTATTTCTAGACCTTGATGTTCTGTGAGATGCCAGACTAAATCTTTTTCAAACTATTTCCTTCTGACTCATGGAAATGCACAAAGCAATGAAAGCCTTCAAGGAATTGTTGTATTATCTCTTTTGTCTTTTTGGAGGGATGAAGAAAGGGAGGGAGGGAGGGAGAGAGGGAGGGAGGGACAGTTGTACCAGTCCTAGCACTCAGAAGCCTGAGGCAGGGGATAGAGAATTCCAGGCCAGGAGGGAGGGAGAGAGGGAGGGAGGGAGGGAGGGAGAGAGAGAGACACAGACTGAGAAAGAAAAGAGTAAAAGATGAAGAAGGGGTCCAGAGGGGCAGCTGGGGCCTTGGAGGAAAATAGACTCTTTGAATATATTCTTGCCAGAGACAAAAGCACAGGCTCATTTAAAAAACAAAGGAGGGCAGCTTTATTCTAAAGCCTGCTGTGCACCAAAAATAGGCACTTAGATTCCGTTCTCCACACAGATTCCGTTCCCCACACAGATTCAGTTCTCCATGTTCCAAAGAAGCAACTTAACACAGTGGAGACAATTCCGTTAAAGCATTTGCCTCAATTTCTCCTGCCCACCTTAGCTATCACCCTCCCAGATAATTCCTCTGAGTAACACATTGGGAACCTTTAGCTCCCTGGTACTGGCAGTTTTAATGTGTCCATTGCCAGCAATGAATTTCATGCCAAGAAAACCCGACTCCTGGCGTGGAAGGATTAAACAGTCCTCGGGTGCCATCTGTGCAGCGAAGTGAAAGAGTGACTTTGTGCACCCAGTGTGCGTGTGTTGCCATTGGCAGGAGGAAGTGACTTCTATTTACATGACTACCTCATGCAGTGAACACCTAAGGGGAAAGATGAAAATGGACACCATTGTGGGGGGTAAAGTTAGGGGAGAGGGAAACTGGTGTGGGAAAGAGGAGCCTATAGAAAAGACTAGAAAAAGATACAGATGAAATGGCAGATTCAAACTGTCATCCTATATTATTATAGAGAGAGCTGCTGAAGAGGAAATATACAGCAGGCATATGTTATCTGAGGAAGTGAAGCAGGTGTCATGACATCCTTAGACATCAGGGTTTGAAATCGACCCTGGACCTCAGTCCTCAATACCTCTTCAAATTGGTGTTTTCTAAAATGAACCCTTCAGCTTCTCGTCTGTTGCACTCAAGAGCCTAGGTTAGAATACTGGGCAGTCTACCTCTGGTGCTTTGACATAACCAAGAAAGGCCTCTGACAATCAAATTTAAGCATTCAGTTTGGATAATTAACACGAAAACTTCAAGCTGTGAAGTGAAAGAAATGATGGGGAAGTACAACACGTATGACATTATTTTCCTTCAAAATGGGTTTTATATTAAATCGAGAAAGGTTGTAGGTTTATACTTCATAAAGAATCAATGAATGTAATGTTGAGGAAAGCCTTGAGTAATAATACTACATAGGGGAAGTCCAGTGCAGAGTAACAGCTAATTCATACTAGGATGAGAGTTAAGAGTCTACACAGGATTCAAAGATAGGTAGATGCCCCTTCAGTAGATGATGGGGGTAAGGGAGAAAGCAGTCTAAATTTCCTGACAGGTGGGGATGGAGGGCAAAATACAACACAGACGTAAATGACAGAGGATGATGTCACAAAATGGTGTCCACAGAAATGCAGAGCCTAACATACAAACCAGGCCATTGTGAGAAAGGGTCTGACACCAGGTGAAGAATGAAGACTGGATTTAGCCAGGAACACAAGAAAGGGCCATTAAAGTCTTGGTAGTGGTGGAGTTGGCCTGCTTAAGGGTATGGAATGGGCCAGAGTATGGAAAGACACAGCAGTAGTTTACAGACTGGGCTGTTGCTGTTACAACAGGAGCTGGGTGATACGCTTCAGTGATGCAGTTAGAAGAAGGTAAGCAATGCCTAAAGCAGAGTACAGAATGCGGAGCAGAAAGAGTGACAGGAATGGAGAGCGCAGTGCCAGATGGGACCTTTGACAGATAGAGGGGCAACCTGATTCTGGGACTGCTTTGGAGGGAAAAGATGCTGACTGTATCATCTCATTTTGCAGATTGTTACTTTTCATCATCTTTTCTGGGAAACATAGATTAAAGCATACAGGCACTAATACAAACACATCAACCACCCATACAAGCATGCTAATTAAATTGAAAGTAAGAGGTAAAGCAACTTTGAATTCATTGTGTTTTGATCAGATGGTTTCAGACTCCAAAATAATGATGGCATCTTACAAAAATGTACAAATACTGCTCAGAGCAGTGTATGAGCATGAGGTCTATGTATGAAGAGTCACAACATAGAAGAGTATATTTTTTGCTATCGTTATTTCTGTTTTTTCCTTTCATTTATTTTTATTTTTTATATGTATGAATATTTTGCCTGCATGTATGCAAGGGCATCCATGCATGCAATGTCTGTGGAGGCCAGAGGAGGATGTCAGATCCTCAGGAACTAGAGATACAGACAGTTGTTAACTGTCATATGGATGCTGGGAATCAAAGCTAAGTCCTCTGCAAGAAGAGCCAGTGATCTTAACCACTGAGCTATCTCTCCAGCCCCTTGATTTTCTTTCTTTTTAAAATTCACACTCAGGGCTGGAGAGATGGCTCAGTGGTTAAGAACACTGTTCTTACAGAAGACCCGGGTTCGAATCCCAGTTCCAGTTCCAGTTCCAGGGTATCCAACAGCCTCTTCTGCCCTCCACGGGTGCACTTATGTACATGCAGGCAACACATGCATACACATAAAATAAAAATAAAAATAACAAATAAGTATTTTAAAATTCATACTCTTAGAATTTGGAACATCTTTGGGGAATGGAGAAAATATCAGAGATGATTTATCTTGTTATCTAAAGGCTTTATTTTAGTTTTTTTTTCCAATTAATATGACCAATAAAATCAGGAACGTTTTAGTAGTTTCAAATTGCTAGAAAGAGGGCTGGAGAGATGGCTCAGCAGTTAAGAACACTGGTTGTTCTTGCAGAAGACTTGGGTTTGAATCCCAGCACCCACATGGCAGCTAACAACTATCCTAACTCCAGTTCCAGGGGATCCGACAGCCTCTTCTGTCCTCTGTGGGCGTTGCACACCACGGGTGCACTTACTTACATGCAGGCAATACACACATACATATAAAATAAAAATAATAAATAAAATATTTTTAAAAATTGCTAGAAAGATCCACAGTACTTAGGTTTATCCATAAAATTGCATCAAAATGACATGAAAGTGGTGACAGTAACTGCTGCAGCCAGACCACATTTCAAATGCTGCAGCTGATCTGGAGAGCAACCTGCCCACAGCTTCTCACAGTATTGGAAGCTGTTCAGTAATTTATGGGTGGGGCTATTCAGGGTACTTCTCAACTACACCTACCTCTCACCTGCTTTATGCAAATTTTGTTTGAAAAAACTGTACATAGTTGGCTATGAGTAAGAATTATCAGCATGCATATACATCTTAATTATGATAATATCACAAAATTTATAGTAAAGGTTTAAAGAGTCTTCTGGACGCTAAAAGAATATGTTGAATTTGACATGTTTTCTAAACTGAAATTTTTATAATTAAAGTAATTATCTGGTGTTGCTTTGTATTTTCAAATGAATGCATATTGTGACCTATATAGCATACGATAAAGATTGTAATTATGCAGAATATAGTAGGGGAAGCTATTGGAGTATCTCTAAACCACCTGTGTTATTTCTTTTTAACAAGAATTTTGTTGGAAATATAAAATATATGTTTTCTAAAATAGATACACTTAAGTTTTTCAACCTCTTGTACACAGGTTATAAGATCGGTATAGCTCTGTTCTCTTACCCTGTAATGGTCAAGGTTGTCTTCTGGAGTTGGAAGACCCATGTAACGTTCTGTGTATACTGAATCTGTGATGGAAAAAAGAATGAGGTTCAACTCCTACAACAATGTTTCTTTCTCATATTTTTGGGTAGCTTTACATGTTCTTCCATGTCTTAACTCAGGTATAGACATATATAGAGCTACCTTCCAAAGAATTGCCTCCAGCCAGTCCTTGTTAATGATGTTCAGACCACTCACACTCAGGACTTTTCTTCCTCAGCACTGACCCACCTGAATTCAGCCTTCAGGATTAGGGAAGTGGAGTTTAAACTAGATGACCTAAAACATAATTAGCAATTCATATGCAGAAAAGTTATATGTGGAGGATGACCCACCCAATGAAAGTCATCTAGCACTTCACCACCATTGTCTTTGATATTGTGGTACTGAGATAAACGAGTACATGCCTTGTACTGTGACAGTCTTTCTTTTTGCAAAGCCCATCAATGATCAATTGCTAGCTGCCTATTTAAATCTTATATTTTTATAGGTTGGTATTCACTATAATGAAAAGAAAGAATTTGGTTAACAGTCCATATTGGATCAGCTGCTTCATCATAATGCAAGTTAAACATTTGTTTTCCCTCATTTTATGGAGAGGTCTCAAGTTCTGTGCTATAACACTTGAGCACTGTGAACAGATTACATTAATATCTGTCTGCTGAACTGACATAAGCTCCTTTATCTATAAATACGGTGGAATAACAAGTTGCATAATTGGTTTGGTTATTTGGATAATTAAACATAAATTTACTCAATTAAAAAATGAAAGCATACATTATCTATATATCTGCTTTAAAATATGTGTGAAAATTTGCTGGCCTAACTAGTTCCATTGTGTTTTTAAAGTATTAGTGTTTATGCCTTGTACAAAGTGATGGGGTTTATAAAGATATTTCATTCATGTATGTCATGCACTCTGCTTACTTTCACCCCATTATTCTTCCTATTTCCCCTCCCCACTAATGCATGTCCCCTCCCTTTTCCAAAATAGTCTCCCCTCTACTTTCATGTCATAATATTTTTCTGTGTACTTTAATATCAAATCTAGTGCCATATATGAGGGAAATTATGTGATGTTTGTCTTTCTGAGCCTGGTTTGTTTTCCTTAATATGAAATCTGCCTCCTTAAATGGCCAGATTACAGCGTATAAGAATAATACATTGCCATTGTTCTTGAATATCACTGGATTGGATAAATATTTAAATTTTAGTCTATAATTCTTTAAACGGACATATCACTTAGATGCAACACTGTGCTGTTTCTGGATGGCTGAGGCACAGACTCAGCACTCCACCCATGACTTTTAGCTGTTCCACTGCCACCTCCTTTTCCTCGTCAATGAGTAACAACAATATATTTTTATTTTGATTAAAATGAATACATATTACAAATCATTTTATGTAGAGAACACTCATAAAATTTAATATTTAAAGGAAATTTAAAAATATAAGATCATAAAATATATATATATTAAAAAATATTTTATTCATTATTTTTGTTTTATGTGTACGAGTGTATTGCCTGCATGTATGTGAGTGCACCCATGTTGTGCAATGCCACGGAGGTCACAAGAGGGCTTCGGAAATATTCATATATTTTTAATTTAAAGATTTAAATATTAGCAATTTAGGTTATATATTTGATAGGGAGAAATTGTTTTTAAGAACAAAGTAAAATTAACCACAACATCAATTCTGCTTGTCTTAGAACATAATACATCTTTCTAATCAAGTTAACATATAATTAAGATCTGAAAACTTAAAATTTACATTTAAAAACTAATATGTGTAACTGCATAATGCAGCTATGAAAATTTAGAAGCAAGCCTTGAAACACCACTTACATATCCCTTGTAGCCAAATTTACACATAAATTAAAAACTTTCTCATTCCTATGTATTAGATAACATACATTTAATAAAGTTCTCATATATTTGTAATCTCACACTCTTTTACTATTTTATTGACCACCAGAGGTCTCCAAAAACAAATTATTCAACAGAACAATTGATAAGAAACAAAACTATTCTGTGAAAACAATGCCATTGTGTGCAGATGAGATTTTAAATATACCCTCTAATTTTTTTTTTTAGTTGAAAGACAGTGATGTGTCTTACACATTGGCTTCTCTTGACTTGGAGAGACTTTCAAAGAGGGGTTCCCAGAGGACTGGTACTATATATCAAAATATAAGTATTTAGTGAGCATATTCTTTATTAACAATTCTATCCTTACACTGTATAAAACAATTCAGATAGAGTCCAGGAGGTGCAAGAAAATTCTGCATCTCCTTCCTAACCTCAGAGTCTTCTTTATCTAGTGTTTCTCAGGCCTGGTAGTCTCTCAAGTTATGCTGCCTTATTGAATATGTCAAGGATGAAGATGACATTCTACTCCTGAACGATGACGAGAAAAACAAATCCCCTAGGAAATGCATGTGTTCCTAGCTTCTTTTTCCCATATAGTTTATCTTTACTCAAAGGGAAAAAGATATATCTTTTATTCTGCTAATATGCAAAGCCCTCAAATCAAATTAGGATGAAGGTGAGGAAGCATTTATTTGAGAAATGTAGCATTGGGGACTATTTTGAAATTTGGTAACCAGGATTTGCTGATGAGAAATTAAACATGTAGGGAAACGTGTAGGGAACAATAGCATCCAGGTTTACACAACAGCAGAATGAATGAGATAAGCTTACACATACCATAAAGAAGCACCAAGATGAATCAGCCTATTATTTGCTATAAACCATGAAAACTCAAAAAGGAATGGCTTTCTCACTGGAATTTTAAGTTCAACACTTAATAATTCTTTGCACATAGCAGCAATTACGTACCATAGTACTCCCATCGTGACACAGGTGCCACAGCTATTCCACACTTGAACACTCCACTTCCTGATCCCAGGACCATTGAGGTTACGTACCCTCCATATGACTAGGGAATGGAAACAGTTATTTTTATGGAGGTAAAGAAATAGGGACATATGGTAAGCAAGTTTCAGTTTCCACATTTCTCACATCTTTATATACTGTGCCTCTTTAGAGATAGAGAGCATGGTATAGGAGGCTTAAATTGGCTTTAATTGGGCAGTATCTAAAGACTATGCTTTTGGAGTCTTGGTCCCTTTTCATACATGTAAGGAAGTAAGCATAGGACGTTTGCTGACCTTGGTGTCTGTATAGCACAACTTAAAGTAATACATGAAAACAGTAACATCAATCTTTACTGATTAGTGAGAAATGCCCCCTTTTCTTCCCTTCCTCCCTTTTCTTTCCTTTTTCTTTCCTTCCCCACTCTCCTCCCTTCCTCCCGCCCTTCTCCCCCTCTGGTTTCCTTCTCCCTTCATAATTAACAGAGGTACAGGTCTGGCTCAGAAGATACTGTAGAAGACTGCTGCTCAGAGGTACAAGATTTGATAGACATGCTTTTCATCTCCTAATATTTAAATACAAAAGATAAATTAACCTGCATTGTGTTGTATTCACTAGGGAGTGCATGCAAATTCGTGAGTCAAACAACTACTCACCCAGCCCCAAATTGCAATTCGTTTGCTGTCCACAAATCCCATTTTTGTAAATTGTCTAAAACACATGAAAGAAGTCCACAAATCAGTTTTTCACTGTGTACCGAAAACTAAGACAACTGCACAAATGTGAAACCCTGACATTTGTTATCTCTCATTCTATTTCAAACTTAGATGAATCACTGCCAGCAATAAAACACCTGAGATAAATGTCTACCGTGCTAATTTAAGGACCAGATGAACAAGGTTTGCTTTTATTTCAGTCCATAAAAATTCTCTGTCTCTGTCTCTCTCTCTCTCTGTCTTTGTCTCTCTCTGTTTCTTTCTTTCTCTCTGTCTCTCTGTCTCTGTCTCTGTCTGTCTCTGTCTCTCTCTCTCTCTCTCTCTCTCTCTGTGTGTGTGTGTATGTGTGTGTGTGTGTGTGTGTGTGTGTGTGTGTGTGTGTGTGTGTGGTGTGTCTCACAGAAAACAAATCCTGGCAGTTTTTTTCACAGCTTTATATAAAAATTTGCAGCCCAGATGCACTTTTCTTTACATAATTGAATTTGAATCTCTCCAGATGTTTTTCAGTTTGAGGCTGGTTGCCCCTGCAATAGAGAAAGATAAGGGCACAGAGAACATCTGGGTAGGGCTTAGAACTGTCTCTGGACACTCATCTGAGAATTTAAACACCATTGTCTAAATAGATCCCTTCCTGCACTGGGTATTGATTAGCTAGTTTGGCACCATTAAATGGAAAGCACATTTTCTTTGGTGGATTAAATATTATTTTTGCCACTAAACTGTATTTGGGGTTGGAATCCAAGTAAAGAAATGTAAACTTTGTTTAATGCACTTATTTCCTAATCTTAGCCTTACATCAAAAGTAATTTCTGACTTAAGTAAGTCTAGCAAATAGACAATGAAACTTTGTGGTATTATGGGAGATTTGGGGAACCTTTACACTGATGTAACTTTGGGCCTGTTCTTCAGTTGATGGTGCGTGTCCAAGACTGCTGAATCAATCAGTATTAGAACAAATTAAGCATACTTTTCAATTTTCCTTCCTGTCAATTTCTTTATACATAAAGAATCCATACATAAAGACATGTCACTATCATGAGTGCACAAGCTGATATACATTTACAGACTGAACATATCCTTGAAACCATGACCGATGCACAGTCACAAGCTTCCAGATCATCTTCCTGTCTGAAAAAGGAAAATAAATGAAATAAATCATTTTCTGTTGGAGTCCAAGTAAACCTCACCTGAGTTTGTACTTGATTTCGAACGTTATGGAAACTTTGGTGTTTAGATTCTTTCATTCAACATTGTATCTGTAATTTTCCTCCATGCTGCTATAGTCAGGTCTTTTTAGTTGCTACAACAGTGCTCCATCATATAAATGTACTGCATTGCATTAATTTTAAGCTGGAGTTTTATTTTATGACTTTGCAATTATGTAATTTTAGGGCTTTCTAAAGGTCAGATTTGAGAGGCCCTGGGGACTATGCTGTGCTTTCATACAAAGACCAGTCTTCATAAATAGCTATTTTTAAACCACCAAAGCCTCACTCTTGAACTAATTTACTTTTTCAAAATTTATGTCTAAATCTCCTTTTATCATGACTAATCATTAGCTTTGATATAAGGGAATTCCATTCACTCAGGAATACTGGTCTTCATTAATTGTTCCTTTTCTTAAAGGACCCTTTCTCCATATATTAAATTGTCTATGGGTTGTTCTACATCTCTCAGTCTATGATTTCACAATATTATTTCAAAGCACTCACAAGATTTCCCCAAACATCCATGTTGTTGGTTGGAAACTCAAAGGACACATTTCTAATTTGACCTTTGAATAGAAGTGTTGGGGTGGACTAGATTCTGATCCTATTTCACCCTGACAAGCAAGTAACTAACTCAAAACCTTGATTTCTTTACTGAAATACATGATAAGAACACCCACCTCCCGGAGCTGCTACACAGCTCAGTGACAATATGGGCAGGTAAAGCACTTCACAAGCTATGTGCCCTTCAAAGTACACTCTTCTTTTAACCCAGAGCACATTAGTTTGTAGTCTTGTATGCAAAGGTAAGAATGATATGGCATTCATACATAATGAAGTTCTTATGATTGAGATTCATGGTAGTTGTGCCCCACAGTTTTCCAAAGAGAAGTCACCCTTATCTAGGCTGTAGGAACCACTCCTTGGGCCTCATAGTTTTTACTCTCTGTAAGGTGAAAGTAAACTCACTTTCTCCACTTGGTCTTATCTCTAAGGGATGGGCTCAACTATTTAACTAGATGTTTACCCAATGTATGGTTAAATTTAATTTTCAACTTGATTGAATTGAGAAATGTCTAAGAAAACATTGAAGCACATTTCTGCATATGTCTATGAGGGTATTACCAGAAAGGATTAACTATCAGTGGAAGACCTACCTTGAATGTAAACAATATCTTCTTGTAAGCTAGGGTCCAAGAAGGGATAAAAAGGGAAAAACAAATGCTCTCTTTGCTACCCCATGGGATGGGAAGGTTCACTACAAGTCCTGTTCCACATTGTTCTACTTTGCCAGAGCCCAGAATCAACAGTGTCAAGGACTATGGACCAACATCTCTGAAACCATGAGCCAAAATAAATAACTCTTCCTTTCTGTTATTTTTTATCATACATTTTATCATAGCAATGAAAATCTCACTAACAGAATATTGATATAGACATGGGGTCATTGTTTTGACTTATCAGATCTTGTAGTTCAGAAATCTTTGGAACTAGGAAGAGGAATTTAGAAAAAAAAATGTTTGAAGAAGGCAGCTGGAGTGCTGTAAGGAGAGCTTAATGAGTGGTTCTTAGAGAAGAGCAGAGAACTCAGATGCTGGTAGGAACACTAAGCACTGTGCTCATGAGTCTTCAGATGGGAAAAAAGACTTAATTTTGAATTGTGCCGAAGATCATTTGTGTTACTATGGCAAACAACTTATCTACCATTGGTCCATGCCCTAGGACTCTGTAGGGAGCTGGGTATAATGGTAAAAGACTAATTTGAGGAAGGAAATTTCAAGGCTTCCTAGTGTTCATTTTGTAGCCTGATTACTGTTGGGTGTTTTTAGTCAACTTTACAGTAAAAATTGTCAGCAAAATGCAGAGACAAAAGGGCTGGAAAACTTGTAGTTTGCTCCTAACCAAATATGCTAATGATAATGAACTGAACTCTCTTCAACCATGGTCAAAATAAATCTTTCCTCTTGTACGTTGTTTCTGTTTTATCACAGCAACCAAAAGTCTGACTAACATACTCAGGGTACACTCATTCCTCAATTTATCTTGTGTTTGATGGATTTCTAGTCTCTGCTTTTAGAAGGCAGTAGTATATATACCAACTCCCTTTCTAACATTGCATATAAAAAAAAAAACTAAGAAACACCTTTTCAAAACTTCATATAGAAAAGAAATAGAAAAAAAAAACTTCATATAGATCTACAATGACAAGTTTTTACCTAAATGTAATAGCTTCACTAAAAACTTACAAGGATGAACTATTACAGATCCATTCTAGAACCCTGTACATTATTTCCATTTTACAACTTTAAAATACAAACCAAAGGGCAAAACGTCAATGATGCTTGAGATCACCTACTGGTTACTCACTTGGCTGCTTCAATTTGATCTTCAACTTCGAATGTTCCCAATCTTCTGTTGATTGCATGCATGATCTTATCTCCTTGGTAACCACTTCCTCTCCCATCAAAGCTAGCTACTATGATGTTTTCTGTACTTGCAAGGTAAGTGGCCCAGTTGAGTCTGAAGACAGCATCTGCCTTTTGACTACAGGGGCCGGCATATCTGTGAAAAAATGCCAAGTTGTTAGATGATTTTTCTAAGTCATAGAATGTTCACATTTCCTTTTCTGTGGACAAGGTATGTATATCTTTCTCTGACATGAGCCTAAAATCACAGTAACCACTGGGTTATTAAAAATGGATTCTTTAAACTTGACAACACAAACATATGGCTGTGTGTTTTCTTCAAATATGTTCATAAGCTATGTCTCTGAACATTATTATCAAGCATATGCTATACATTTTAAGGATACAATATTAATTCCTGTAACAGTGGGGAGAGGAGAAACCATCTTATAAAACTAACCATGACAATCAATGCAGTTTTTCATCTCAGTTTAGAAATACCCCAGTCTACAAGTTTATTTCCTAGGCTGGGATTCCTTAAGGATTTGGATTGGATACGTTGTGCTTTTCCCTGAGGATTCTGTACAGTGCTGCTCACAGTGAGACTCTATAGATCACTGTAGAAGGAATCATAGTATGAAGGAATGCTGGTACTTAAAGACTCAGAGGAGAAAGAAATGCAACTTCGTATTGGAAAACAAATATGCTAGTCAGCATTACAAAAGTCTTAACATCCCTGTGCCTGCAGTCTTCGCAGGCCGCAATCTACCCCATATGTAACCGTGTGTACAATCTCTACCAAGTTCACTCATTTCTATTAAGAGATGCTTCCTATAGCATATTGTACTTCATTTAAATGCCATCTTTGCATGGTCTAAAAACTTCCTGGCTACGAACCTTCTAAAATAGTGATCTTTTCCCCAACCCATCTCTCCTATTCATTGGCTCACTGATCCCCATGAGGAATAGGCAAGTCCTGTTTACATGCTTCTGCTAACATTTTTCTCCCGTTATTAGGGATGGAAGTCAAGGGAACTTTCATTTCAACAAAATATCATATTATTTTAATATTCTTCACTTTTTAGAGACAAGGTTTTGCTATAGCATCAGTTGGCCTGGAACTCCCTCTGTAGACTAGGCTAGCCTTGATTTCATAGAAATCTATCTGCCTCTGCCTTCAAGTGCTAGGATTGAAGGCATGCACCACCATGCACCGCTTACATTATTTTAAACTAAATATTGTACCATTTAAAAGAAATATTTATTTATTTATTTATTATTTTTCATTTGTATGAGTGTTTTGCCTGCAAGTATGTAAGTTTACCTATGTCCTACAATGTCTATAGAGGCCAGAAGAAGCCTTCAGATTCCCTGGAACTAGAGTTACAGATAGTTATTAGTCACCATGTGGATGTTGGAATTTGAACCCAGGTCTTTTGGAAGAGCATCCAGTGCACTTAACCACTGAGCAATCTATCCAGTCCCTATTGTACCAGTCTTAATTCAAACAGGAGAATGTATTCATACACTCAAATGTAAGTACACTTTGCTTTTTCTTTCTTTCTTTTTTTTTTTTTTGGTGACCTGAAATTCCTTTGTCCTGTCAGTGAAAGTATATTCGGTACATTAAAAGTGTCAACCTCTTACTTCTTATGATGTCTAAGAGGTAAGGATGAAAATGAGAACTTGAGGAGGCAGGAGAGATAGCTCAGTGGTTACGATCACCTTCTGTTCTTGCAAAGGATCTGAGTTCAGTTCCCAGCATCAGATGGTAACTAATAAGTGTCCAGTGCCCTTTTCTGGGCCCCATCACCACTGTGCATGCTTGTGGTGCACCTACATGAATGTAAAGCAAAACATCATACACGTAAAATTAAAAAAAAACTCATTACTTAATTTTATAAAAAAAGAAATTGAGGACTTGAAATGTTAGTGGAATTCCCTTGAACGTCAAGGAAAAAAAGCAAAAGCAAAACCATGTAATTATGGCAGAGAAGGAGTGTCTATTTGTCTACTAAGAAGTTGGAATAAAACACAAGTTGAGGTCTGTGTGTGTAAGATGGGAGGAGGGAATAGTGATCAGTGATTCAGGAAGGAAGGGGCGATGTACTAGTTCTGTGTTTCAGTAATCTCTACTGGGCAGAAGAATATGATAATTAATTGCTAAATTACTCCCTTATGAATACTTACACTTCTAATAGTAGAGGATATTTCTTGGCTTTATCAAAATGAGGAGGCAAGATCATTTGATACCAAAATTCTAAACAAACAGAAAGATTATTAGTGAGTTAAGAACAATTATTAGTGCAATATTTCATTTCTTGTTTCTCAGTGATGTCATGTTTTGAGTTTAACAGTTTGTTAAATTAGAATAGAAAATGAAAATTATGAGCTCAGATTCAATCATGTCTCTAAAATATAAAAACACTGTCAAGTTATAATTCTAGGTATTAGAGTACTAAAACAATTAAGTTGTTTCTAACATAGCCATTAAAAACATCGGAGCCTTGTAAAATAAAAGTGCATCTTAGGGTTTCTGATGTTTTGTTTTGCGGCTTCTGTTCTTTGGCATCTGATCTACTGATCTAGTTTGTTTGTGGCTTATGTTCTAAATTTTCCTCCAAAATGTTTTCCTCTTCTTGAATTTCCTTGAAGCTGTTTAGAATTTGTAGTTGGCCCTAATTCTATTTTAAAATTCTGACTTAATAACATTTTTATAGTTTCTATTGCCATCCCAGGCCACAAAACTGAGTTCCCATTTTCAGTCCTGTCTTTGACAGAATGAAATCTGCTTTTGTGGGGCAAAGGGCTATGCAATCTCTGGGGGGCCTTTCTCAGGTCCATTAAAGTCTCTGTGCTTGATTTACCTGCAGGTTAATAAAAATGTGTCCCTGAATAATGAATCATTTTCTTTGCTCTCAAATTAAGTAAGACTAATAAATATAAACAAAATTTTCCACATTTCCATATTCAGTAAGATTTAAACTACAGGCAAAAATGTATCTCTAGAGCTGTTTCTTATGTCCACTTTCCTTCTTGTTTCTTGATTGATTTTATAATGATTTTGGTTAAGGAGAAAAGAAAGATTTAATAGTCAAATCTTTACATAGCTATATAGATATACTTATCTTCTTATTTTGTTAATTATTTGTGTGCCTTTTTATTAAATGTGTTTGTAATAAAAAATATAATTATGTTAGAATTTCAGGAAAGTACCAAATTATCAGCTGGCTGTGATTTTTAAAAAATTTTATTTTATTTATTTTCTGTTATGTGTATGGGTAAGTATTGCCTGAATGCGAGTGTACCAGGAACAAGCAATACCTACGAAGGTCAGAAAAGGGCATAAGATCCCCCAGAACTGGAGTCATGGACAGTTGTTAGCCACCATATGGGTGCTGGGAACCAAACTGGAGTCCTCTGCAAGATCCATCAGTGCTCTCAACCAATGAGCCATCTCTCCAGCCCCAACAGTGATGTTTTTAAGGTATAGGTCCAAGTCATTATTTGTCCTCTATTTTCTGGCCAGAACTAGTTGATTATAAAGTGTTTTTGACTCCATAATTTGGTAAGTGTACTATTTTTCTTTGAGAGGTGTGTCGGGGGAGGCGGGTCTTTCCACTCTCAAAATTCCATCTCTCCCATTCTCTTCTCTCAGACTGTTCAGCTCTCCTCCCCTGTAATGTGAATGGCCAGAGTGCCAATGGGATCCTCCCTCTCCTGCCATCCTACAATCCCTGTCAAGTTTTCCCTCTAATCACGTGGCCTCACTGACCCTAAAACCTCAAGAACCCCTCACTGTATGCCTACTGAAATAGAATCACATTTCATTATTCAACCGAGTATCTTGCATCAGACCGTCTAAATGAATTCTTGACTCTCAATATGGGTCAGGGACAGAGACCAGAGGCACCCTTAGAGTTTATTATAAAGGGTGGATTCTGGGCCCACCCTAACCTGCTGGGTCAAACAATGAATGTTAGCAAGGGCCCCAGTGACTACATGCACCTTCCATTTGTGCAGCACTGCCCTAGGTAATTCTGTTGCAGAAGCATCCTCTACTAGCCAGCCAGACCTACCATTTACAATGACAGGAGCTGAATATTTGTAAAGATTTTATTTTTATTATTTTTAATTATGTGTATATGTGTATGTCTGTCTGTATGTTTTTTCACATGAGTACAGATGTCCACAAAATTCAGAAGATGTCAGAGCCCCTGGACCTGGAGTTATAGGCAGTTTGAGCAGCCAGATGTTGGTGCTTGTAACTGAATTGGGGTCCTCTGTAAGAACAACAAATGTTCTTAAACACTGAGCCATCTCTCCATTCTCATATTTACTATTGTTATGCTAAAATTCAAAAATTCTAAACTATCAATCATGATGTATTTCTCCCATCTGTATAAGTTCTTATTCCTTAGTGGAAAAAGAAATCAAATAAAAAAACAAGCATTTTCATCTCAAAGAAGCCTGTCAAGTATTCTTAATGGTCCAAGCATGTAATCCATTATTAGCCACCAACCTCAGTCCCACCCAGTCAAGGAAAGGGAAAGAAGAATTAATTATTTCTTTCCTGAAACTGAAATTTAAATACTTAATAAACAACCTCAAGTTTTTAACATATCATCTTAGATATTTTTTATCTCTATAGTTCAAAATTAAATATATAAGGTATGACCTAACAGCTATTATAATTTTACAATTAATACTTAGCAGCAGAACAGAATTACTCGCTGGATGAATTGACCTATCTATAGTGCACTGTCTCCAAAAACATTTTCTTTTGACAAAATAAGTTTTATACAGAATTGTGTTTTGAGGCCACAAAAAAGCTATAGTTCCTGTGACAGAACATTTCATGGAAAGACAACCTTTTAAATCAGGTTTACATAAAATGCATATTTTCAGACCACATTATTATTATATTATTTATATTTTATTGGTGTTTCCATGCAAAGGACTATTCCCAAAGAAATTTAGCTTACTTGTTTCATTCAAAATAATGAAGTCCAATTTTTTTGAAGGCATTTGGACATTCTGCAGCATTTTATCCAAAGCTGAATTGTCTTCCAGGGCTCGTAGTTCTGAACAAATACATGAAAGAGCAGCAATTTATTACAATGTGAGGAAGTTAACCATGAAGCAATAATGAGCATGTGTGCAGTGCAGGCACTGAGCTGTCCAGACTTTAGGTAAGAAGGCTTGTGTTTAAACTGCTGTTAAGAAACCCTAAAGCTAAAGAATGTCTTATCCTGGTCCTATTCACATATACTTTCCTATAAGCCAAAGGAGGTTGAAATGGAAGAAAATACCTTTATCATCCATGCTGCGATGCATTGTATAGAGAGGCAGACCAGGGCCTGTTAACATAATCAGTGAAAATATATGTTTCAGATGACTATCGCATTTGAGCTTTCAAAAACATCAGCCATTAGCCAGGTGTGGTGGCGCACACCTTTAATCCCAGCACTCAGAGGCAGAGGCAGGCAGATCTCTGTGAGTTCAAGGCCAGCCTGGTCTACATAACGAGTTCCAGGTCAGCTGGGACTACAGGGAGACCCTGTCTCAAAAAAGGCCAAAAAAAAAATCAGCTATTACTATTTGATAGAACACATAGAGCTATTTCTGTAGCTAGGAAACTTAATAAATGTCTGTCATAAAAGCTGTTTCCCCCTCCCCTTTTTCTTAAAAATACTGCATTTGAGTACATGAAATATTCCTGAAAAGGTGCAGGGGCCAGTAGAATGGGGTAGGAAATGAACTTCTGCCTCACTGATCATCTCAGGCTGGTTATCATCTCTGTGCCCAGTTCCTCAACAGCAAGCTGAAATAAGAGCTTCGGCCTTCTCCACTGTTCATTCATGAGCCACAGTGATCTTGACATCTCTCAAACTCTGTACTCCTTAGGGGATGAGTGGGCAGAGCTCTGGAGCTAGCCCCACCTTGAGGAAGAGAATTCCTACATGGGCCCCCACTCTGCGGAGTCCAGGAGCCAGGAGGCACATCTGCAGTGCCTGACTTGGATAAGCAATTTCTTTCTGGCATGCAGAAGTGTTTTTCTCACAAGCCCATATCGTCACTATTTATCCCAACTGTGATAGCTGTGGAATGGAAGGTAATGTATAGCAAAGCTATTTTATGAGCTATTTAATTTTGATGCATTTAGATGATAATATTAACTTTTATATTAGATTGAAAAACCACAGTGAGGGCTCTGCTAGACCTGGATTTGAATCCTGGCTGACTTCCGGGATGAGTTAGGTCAATGTGTCTATGCTTCAAAGCCCTTGCATAGAAAATGAGAATAATCAAAACTTTGCAGAGTTTTCTTAGGGTTCAAAGAAGATCACAAATCTTAAGCTTTAACACAATGCCTAGAATAAACCACATAGTCAAGAAATGGCAACAAGACTCAGCCAAAGTCAAGAGCCCTAAAGAAATAGGTAATAAAGAAAATACACTAAGGAGAAAAAGTCAGATAATTGGTTCAGAATCCTCTTATTTGTCACTGATTGCTCTTTCTAGATTATCTAGACTTTCTCTCATTTTGAGAAGCATGCCAGCACAGCATTAGAAGGGAGAACTCGGGTAAGGTTTGCTGAGTCTTGTTGAACTTGCTGTGTGACCTGGATCTGTCTCAGGAGAAAAGAAAGTGTTCTTAACTTCAGCATTTTGTAAGTGGACTGCTTTTCTTTGAGGTGTGTGTGTGGGGGGGTCTTTCTACTCTCAAAATTCCACCTCTCCCATTCTCTTCTCTCAGACCTATTTAGCCCTCCTTCCCTGTAATCTGAATGGCTATAGCTTCAATGAGACCCCCTCTCCTTGCCTAGGTTTATATTACTGATTATTAATATAAATATTAATAATCACAATATCAACAGAAGATAAAGCAAGTGAACATGTTGGGTGACAGGCACCACTCACAGTCTCTTGCTAACTTAAGGGATAAATGGGCAAAATAACTATTTAAATCCCATAATATGTGGGTGTGTAAGAATGAATTCTTCAGAGGGGAAAGAGACGTGGTGTGTACTCATCACCTAAATTTGAATGGGCAGAAAAGGACTAAGGTGACTGCAAAGGCTCCTAAATCTCCAAAAGAAATGAAGCTGATCAGAAGAGAAAGATGGGGTGCCAGCAGGGGACAGCGGGCATGGGGAAACAGGGCCAGGGGAATGGCAGCATGGTTGTCTGACTGGGAATGAAGGGAGCTGCTTCCCTGGAGCAGTCTGAGCCATCGGCACACTCCTCACAGCCAGTACTAACTTACCCAAACATCTCAGCTGATAATACTTCACGTTGTCACTAAATGACACAGAATAGTACTGACACCTTTCTGGATTCAGGTCACAGCTAAGACACTTCAGATTTGTGTGGTCATTAAGTTGAATTCTGTAAAATCAACAGTGGTAATTGTTTGATGAAGTGGTATTTGAAAGGAAGAAAGGGAATAATGCATGTTCTAGTTTTAGCAGAATCAGAATGCCAAAGCAATCCTCAAGACTGATTTTAATAATAAAATAAGTATATAAATTAATAATAGCTTCAATCTCCCACTGTTTGGAAACATCATCAAAAACTGAATAGAGTCATTATCTTCAGTAATATACAAACTGATAAATGAAGGGATAGAAGTACTTTATAACAATTACAGCATAATATTACTTAGGACAAGACAAAAAAAAAAAAAAAAAAAAAAAAAAAAAAAAAAAAAAAGAAGAAGAAAGAAAGCGAGAGCCCAGGACAGTCCAAAGTGAAAACCCTGTCACCAGCACCCTAGCAGAGTTCTTACTTATAAAGATTCCTTCCTCCTGGCATTCCTTTATATTCATTACTAATGTAGTATCTGGGAAGAAAACAAAGGAAATATAGTATTGATTATGTTTCATAAAAATGTTAGATACATCCCTGAGCTCCAGCTCCAGGCACACATGTGCACACAGGTGCCCTTGAACAGGCACATGCCCTCTATCTGTCCTTCTCTGCTCCTCCATTTCAGAACATGCTTATTTTCTTAGCAGACTACTGAAGCCAGGGTTTTCTTTCAAGTGATAAGTAAAAACTCCAAAGAAAGCGTTTATAAGAAAAATGTGCCTGGACAACTAGATTGAGACCCCTATATACCAATCCTGTTTTCCATATTTTCTATTCAATAGCATAAGCTACTAGATGGCCGAAGCTGCATATTCCTGAGAGTGGCAGAGCCACTTCTGCAAAGAGTCATCAAAAAAATACCTATGGCCGTGGCACAGTTCTTTGTGATGGGGTCAATAAAAAGCCTGAGACTCTAATGGAAAGAAATTTTCCTTTTGCTGACAGCTCATGTGTGCTGGTGGTAAGAAACTACAGCAAAGCTTGCCATTTTCCAAAGAGAAAGGCCAAGATACCGGCAGATAAAATTGCCTTTCCTGGCCTTCCAAACAGGCTGTATCAACCCGAAGGTAACAGAATACTGGAGTGTTCCTTCAGAATTCCAGGACATTCCAGTGAGGATGCAGTTCCTACAGTGGAAAGTAGGTAAGACCAAGAGGTAGAGCTGTTTGGTGGCATGGTATCAAATCTGCTGAGCATATGTGAAAATCATTAAGCCTTCCGTATGTTAAAAAGAAAAAAAGGATTGAACACATTCCAAATCGACTTCTCTTTGTGGGAGATTTTATCCCCCCCCTCCCGCTTCTGTGAGAAGAGGGTATGATTATAATGTGTGGGTTTACAGTGACTTACTGATTATCAGAATACTCACAGGTAATTGTTGGTCAGAGCTTCTATCCCAATGACTTCCCAGGTTCCTTTAGTAATAAATGTGCAGTCCTGGTTGGGTTTTTAAATGAGGGATTTATTAGACTAATCAAAGTAGAGGATTTAATAATTTATATGAGGAATTTAAATAAGTCTGGAGATAGCTTGTTGGGTATCCATACTCCATTCCACCTCACTCCATACATGACTGAAAAATTCAAATCGCTAAACTTCACCAAATAATTTCTATTTCATGTTAATTTCAAAGGAAGAAGGTTAACTGGAATCCACTTGGTTGGAATACTCACTTTGCTGTCCTTTTGGAACTGGCAAATGTGTCTGTAGCCCTCTTCGTTGCTGATGATCTTGTAGAAGCTATTACCATCAGAGGTGAAATGAGGCTCTGCAGGTCTAAACTAGATAGTAATAGAGCAAAGATACATCTCAGCTCACTCTTGTCTCATCTTAGTATCAAGTCCAGTTTTACGAAGTCCTCCCCAACACCTACGCTCAAAAACTTTGGATTCCCTTACTTGTCAAGTGAAACCAGGAGATCTCAAAAAGAAACTCTTACTAGAAAATGGGAAATAGACACCAAACTAGTGTTAGTTTGGTTGGGGTAAATAGAAATTGCACATAAAGATGCCCACAGTGGACACTGAACACACAGGAAGGAATGTTTGTTGTCATTCTGTGGCAACTGCAAGCAGGATGCTGAAGATTTCTGGCCATAAGGACATGCAACCTAGCTTCCACCTCTGTTTCAAGAAAGAAACTTCCGCAGTGTCACAACTGTGCTTTCTAGAAAGAGGCATATTATTATCTGACTGTTTCAGGTTGGAGGTAGTTGGTAGTGTGGAGAATTTTTCATTCCTGTTTTTACACAATTTTTTTTTTGAAAGTAAGGCTTAGTCTTTAACCATTTCTGGACTAGAGACCATAAGGAATGTCTGCTACAGATTTCCTATGGAAGCGTTCATATAGTTATTTTTATCATAAGCCTTTTCATTTTGCTAAAGATGATCAACAACTTACAAAAATGGTTTCATGGATATATAGAACAAAACTTCCATTTTTTAAAAGTTCAGTAGAAAATAATTCTCATAAAATAATGTTTAAAAGGAAGAGTGTCTATCCTGGCCTGCAAGGACTATATTGCTTTTCAATTTATTTTTCCTAGCTATGTTTGAGAGCAGGTAGGAGATGGTCTTTTAAAATTGTTGGTTCACTTCGCCCTCAATGTTTCCTCTCTTATCAGCTCCCATTTTGGGAAGTAAAATGCTTGCCTCTTCTATTTAGTGATTCAAAGTGAATTCATTTATGGAGCAAGCTGAGGCGTGCAGTACACTTGGTGTTCTCATTACAGAGCTCTGAAACACATTCCCCTCTCTAGACCTATGTTCACAGCCTTATCTTTTTAATACATTTCCCTGTTTCCCCTGGATGGAGTTGTGCCTAGTAGAAATGTGTGAAAAGTGGCATCTGTCTGGTTAAATACAGAGAGGAAAAAACATATTTTTTTCAAAGAGTCGTGAGGAAGTGTAGCATGTCTCTTGCCATGGAGGAAACCACTTTTCTTGTTGGCAAACCTCTCCCCTCTGTCCAATCAGCGCCTGAAGAAAAAGGACATATGAATGCTGTCGGAGCTCTGGCCCAGCAGAAAGGGTGGTCTTCCTGGACCGAAGTCTCACTCCCATCCCCCAGGATACAGGAAATAGTTACAGTTTTTGTGTCACTTTGCTTCCCTTTTAAAGGATAATTAATAGAAGTGGTCATAGAAGCTGGATGTGATTCAGTTTTCATCTTTCAAATGAAGTGTCATGATGCCTGGAGTCCTTTCATTCCTGTGCTTCGTCCCTGTTCTTCTTTCCACGGAGTTGTAGGCCTGAGGTTGGATGCTGTGCAAGGCTCATGGTGTGGTGAGGCTGAGCAGAGCTCCGGGCCTAGGAGGGTCACTCTGCATTCCCAGATAAAACGCTGCTTCTGAGGACCTACCAAAGTGTAGATTCGTACGAGTGTGATTTCCTCCAGAGAGGTGACATTGTGCAGGGCACATTGTATGGTTGGTGCTGTTCCTGCCAGCTGTAGTCAGGTCTCCTTAGGCATTTGTCCAGGCTGGGTTGCAAACTGTTTTCTGCCTTCAAAGCACTTAACTCATACACTACCACAATCTTTCTGCCCCCTCATGAAACCTTGCTCGTATGAACTTACAGCAATAGTGACAACATGCACAAGATCCATGCAAACTCAATCATACAAAAACCTAGTATAGAACTGGGGAAATGGGCAGGAGGCCCCAACCTTAGCCAAGGAACTATTGGCAGCTGATCACTTCTGGGTGAAGGAGAGTTGATCTTATTTAAGGGAGTGATGCTAGATAGGCTGAACAGGCTCCTATGAATGAACTCACACTGAAGGACATCTGGGTACATAAACTTCTATGAGAGAAAGCACAAAATCTGGTGGACGGGCTATAGGAGGGTGCAGATAGGGAGGGGATCTAAACATGATTAAGATGTATTGTGTGAAATGCACAAAAATTCAACAAAAATATTTTTTAAGGAAAAAAGCACATAATTCAGGCAGGAGGTCAACGAGTACATTCAGCATCCTGGCGGCCTGACAATGGCAGTTGATTTCTAGCTTCCTGGAGCTACAGTTTGCCTGGAGAAGGAGCTTTGTTTTGCCAGCTCTACTTCTGATTTTGACTTTTGTCCCTTGACTTTTCCCAGTTCGGTATGGTATATGTTCTTTATTAAAAGTACATTAACATGTTGAGAAATGGATCAACTACAATCCCTATTAATGACAAATAACATAAAGCCTTAGTATAGAATAGTTACATGTTAACCAGCTTTGAGTAGCAGGCCCAAAGAACATAAAATTCCATAACTCATAGTACTTACTCTGCCAACCCAGCCTGTAGTACTCGTTTCAACATGCTGCTGTGCCTGGGGAAGGAAAAAGACTGTTGGGGTTTCAGACAGGATGATATGATGAGATCTTTTTTCTTTTTAAGACAGGGTCTTATGTGTCCCAAGCTGTCCTTAAACTAATTACACAGCCAAGGATAGTCTTGAACTTCTAGTCCAACTTCCACCTCCCAAGTGCTGGATTACAGGCATCCATTATCATGCCAAGTTTTATGTGGTGTTGGAAACTGAACCAAGGGCTTCATGAATGCTAAGCCAGCATTCTACCAGCTGAGCTGCATCCTTTACCCCATGAAATGTATTCCTCAGTTTTAATATACTATCAACAAAATTACACTATAATAAAATAGTTGAAAAAAATTCCATCATATTGATGTGTTTTTCATGTAATTACATTTGATCATTTACCTCTACTGCTTGAAGCTCTGAGCTGGTTCCACCTCACACTGTCCTGGGACTTTGAATCCAACATGTACAGAGCTGAAGATTATCCCCTTTGCTTTCCTCTACCCTTCCAGCCTGCTCCACTCAGGCCAGAGACCTTACAGTGAGTACTGATTCCCACAGTTCTTACTCTCTACTCACAGTCACAGCCCCTTTCTTAGGGTAGGTTTCTCATGGTCCACTGCCATAGGGTCCTAATTGGAGATGCAATGTATCCTTTCTTCTTTTGGTCTAGTATCCTCTCTGTTCAACCCCCCCCCCAACTGACTTCATTTGGCAACAAGCAGCCTAAGCCCAACATGATACTCTTTAATTTAGAATCTTGGAACAACTTTCCATCTCTTACAAGATAAATTCAAACTCCTTGGAATGGTCCCTGAGTTTGTCTAGCCTCATTTTCCATCCTTATTTCCCTAAATCCAGGTGATAATTACACCCAATTCCTACCTGCTTCAAGCTGTTCACTCTGGATGTCCTTGTTCAATCCTCAACTCAGATGCACCTTTCTCCCTTATCTGTCAACAGTAGACATCTTATCCTAGATTATTCTATGCACCTCCCAAATCATTTCCTAGTCTTGCTCCACTTGCCTCCTGTAGAATATCTTTTGTTACTCTTTGTGCCTAGCTTTAAACCCTCTTATAGTACAATGCTCTGATATTGTGATGAGTTATCAAGAGGAAGAAAAGAACTTAGGTTTTGCAGTTTACGTTCGAGCTGTGTCCCTGTGACCTGAGCAAATGCCTTAAGCTCATGGAGCCTTAAGCTCCACAGTGTCTCATGTGCTGTGCATGCTCCATCTGTCATTCTTGATGTATCTTCACTATGGAACTCTCTACCAGAACAAAAGCATCTTGGGAAAGGTGGAGTGTCTACTTAATTCAAAAGTATCAACTCAGTAAAGAGTTGGAAACCTTTTAGGCAATGTTTCTTGCATAAATAAATGATTTTGTCAAGATACAGAAGTGTTCAAACTCTTGGGTAAGATTATGTCCTGTGCTCATCTGGAATGAAAGCAGGGAGGAGGTGGGGAGCACAGAGCTCATGACTAGAAAAGAAAAGGAGGTCCTGGATGTTCACGGCATATGCCAACAAAACCTCAGTATCTACCCCTCCTAAGACTACTGGCTTCCAAAAGCAGCCCTCAGCCTGGAACTTCTTGGCGTCCTGCTGGATCAGCACTCAGTTCACCTCAGTGTAGTTATCTTCTCAGGCTGGTAGATCTCCATTTAAATTCTAAATCTATTTCCTGCCTAAGATAGTCACAGCCTAGTAATGGATCTGTAGTCTCCTCGTATGCTTGTTTCATGTGTACCCAGCTAGTCTCTGTTAAAATAACCTTCATTTCAATTGCAGCTCCTGGTCCTCTTCTTGTTTTTGACTACTGACATCAGATTCTGCCTTCTGGGCTTCTAGTCACTCCTTCTCCCCTTTCCAAATGATCCATATCTAATCTATAACTAAAACACCACAACTTGTGAGCAAAGATGAAGTGAAGACACCATCAAATATCAAGTGACCTGACAGGCAAAACTGACTTGCTGCCTCAGGGTTGGACAAGGAGTCAGAGAGAAAAGAAGCTCAAACATTTACTGATCCCAACCTGATTCCTGAGTTCACAGAGCCCTCCCATCACATGCTGTTGGAAAAGCACAGAATCATTGTGCAATCTTACCAATGGGCAGTTCCATGTTTGGTTGGACTTATCATAGTCACAGATGTCCATCACGGAATAGTTCTGAATCCTCCTAAGCCACTGCAGAGAAATCCTCTCTTGTGTCACCCATGCCACATCACACAAGTAGTGATCCCTGGAGAGAAGAAGGGGAGGAGGTAGAGAAAGGAAGAAGAAAAAGAGAGATATTAATTTTTCTAGGCCTCCTGGGGCTGGGGTGATGGCTCAATGGATAATGTGCTTGCCACAAGCATGAGAATGGACTTCAGACCTCCAGAATCCAAGAAGAACCAGCAGGCATGGCAGATGGCTGTAATATCAGAATTTGAGAGACAGGAGATCTCTAGGACAAGCTAACAAACTAGACTAAGCAGGGTTAGCAAGTTCCAGGGTTCAGCAAGAGCCCGTGCCTCAGATGATAAAAGTAGAGAACAATTGAGGAAAACACCTGATGTCAGCTTGGGGCCACCATAGACATGAACACACATGTGCAGCCACACACATGTGAACATATGCGTGCACATTACACACATGTACACACACAAACAAAAAAGAAATATGACATTTTTCAAGATCTCTTTACCAATGAACATTTTACACAGTAAAAAGAAATGTAGTCCAATGGGAAGTAGAATTTTACATGGTTAGGCGTATCATTGAATCCCATAATATTTTATCTTTCCTTAAACTTAAATTGCACTTTAATTTCTAACATAAAGCATACCCAGCAAGGAAAGCAGAGGGAACATCCTGAAGGTGCTGAACACATATGACTGAAACCATATGTTCAGGATTTGCCAAGTCCTGAACTTGACCTCTGGTAGCAGGGAGTCCAGGGTCATGTAGTTCCCCTCTCTTCTCTGATGTCTTGAGAACAATGAAGTGAGGTCAGGGACCCCGGCAGAGATTCTAGCATTTTCTGGTAATTTAACATGTTTCTTCAAAAAGTTCTTGCTATTTAGGGTGAAATTAGAGATGACCCTTTTCTCAGCTTCACTTTCAGATGGGAAAAAAGTGGACTGGTGCCTCTATAGGCTTTGCAAATCAGAGAATTATAACTTAAAAAGCATTTCTCAAGAGTCAAAACATGAACCCTGTGAAGAGCCCTGCTGTGGTTTAACTGAAATTCATAGAGGTTGTGGTAGCAGGACATCCTCCCCAGCACATACCTTCAAGTGTTTTTGGAACCACGACGTTGTGATTTATATGGAAATGCGTGGAATTTATAATTTACTCTTCTGCTAGCCTCCCTAACATTTTTTGATGTGGATGGTTTATTTAACTTTTTTTCTACATTTTTGCTCCTCCTCTAGGGTGATTTTGGCTGACTATTCATACATCGCTTCTCTCCAGTGTCTGATCAAAGTCTTGCTCCCTTTTGTTAGAAGTTCAAGAGGAGTCTTTCATATTACTTTTTTTTTTTTTTCTGGCCCATAACTTTATCCTCCTGCACTCAACCAATCCTAAAATATTCCCTTTCCCCTGCCTCCCTAGGCAGTAGCCATCACCTTCTGTGGTCATCCTGTTCTCCTCGCTTGACTGGAGCTCTTTGAGACAGGGACCATACTGGTCTAGTTCATAAAACAGGTGCTCACTAAGTTCTCCTGGGATTCCCCTCTCACAAAAGCAGAATTTCTCTTCTGAATTTTTAATTGAATTTTTGAAATTTTCATACAATACAGTTTGATGGTATTTAGATCCCCTCCCCCATCCACATCTCCCCCCACTGTCCCCCATCCAATTTAATATACTCTCATATATATAGATAGATAGATGATAGACAGATAGATAGATAGAGATGATAGATGATAGATAGATGATAGATGATAGATAGGTAGATGATAGATGATAGATAGGTAGATAGATAGATGATAGATAGAGATAGATGATAGATGATAGATAGATAGATAGATAGATAGATAGATAGATAGATAGACAGATAGATGGCCTACGGAGTCTGATTTGTGTCTCTAAATGTCCTTCAGTGTGAGTCAGTTACTCATGAGAACTCAGCAATGGTGACAGCATGTGCAAGCCCTATGCAAGCTCAAATCAGACAAACTCTTAGTGTAGACTTGGGGAAGTGGTAAGAAATCCCAATTCTTCTGATTCTTTAAGCTTACAGAGTTATGCCCTTCCTCAGAACTCACATCCAGTCATTTCTCTCCACTCCCTTCATAACTGAATCATGCAACAACTAGAAATTGAGCACTTGGGATGAATCTCTATCAAGCACTTTAAGCCCTTCACAACTTTGAATTTCCTCTTTTATGTTGAATGCTAATGGGTCTCTATGTTATTTGACTGCAAGTTTCAGGTACTGAAGGGCCAAAGCCCAGGAACCAAGCAAGCACCATATTCTCATATGCATCCTTTCAGTTTAGCCTTCTTTGCCCTTTTCAGTCTTGGTGGCCGTGTGCTCCTAAATACACCAAATGTTTCCTAATTAGACTCTCTATCATCTACCTTCCACGCCCTTACTTCTTAAGGTCTTAGCTGAGGCAACTATCCACTTGTCCATGGTGTTTCTGGGAAAGCCGCTGCTACTGCCTCATGGAACTCATCTCACACCGTCAGGCTGCAGTGCCAGCGAGTGCTTCTTCACCAGCAGAGAGCAAGGGCTCCCAGTCTAATCTAGCTCTCTTGCACCCACCAAATGCAGAGGAGAAAAATGAGAAATTGGAAAGACAAATTGTGCCCAGGCAAGTAATGCAACTTTGTTAATAACATGGAAAAATATTTAAAAATATTTTTGTAAGTTAATGAAACTTAAAATAAGGTATGCCTTTAGTATTCTAGACCAGAGACTGTAAAACATTTAGTTAAAACCCAAGTAGTAAATATTTTAATCTTTGTAGTCTACCTGTTATCTGTTATCTGTCACACACACACATACACAGACACAGACACACACACACACACACACACACACACACACACACACACCGCATGCCAACAGCCAAAGACAATGAGGACAGAAATGAAAGCAGCTATGATTTGGTCAAAGTCTTCAATTTAAATGTCATAAATTGATGCCATAAGTTCTTTTTTATATTTCTTCTCATGCTTTTAAATATATAAAAACCATTCTTACTTGTGAATGATACAAAGGTAGAGGACAGAGCAGATTTGAATCACAGGCCCTGTTGGGTCAACCCTGGTCCTACCCAGTCATTCTTACTCATTATATATACACACCTTTGGATTCCTGTAATTCTAGCAGTTAGGAAGCTGAAGCAGGAGGATGACAGAAAGTTCAAAGCCAGGCTATGGTATAACCAACCAACCAACCAACCAACCAACCAATCAATAACAAAATAACAAAAACCCTTGGAGGAGGATCTACTGAAAAAAAAATAGTATACACCTCTGTATTGGTGGAAAAAGGCTTTCTATTCACAAGCACAGGTCTGAGGCCCAGAAATACTCTTTGGTCCTTTTCAAAGTTCTCTGGTGGCAGAGAGGGAGAGGGTAAGGAATCTCTCATTTATGGTCATGAGTCACTGATTCTAAATAGCCTTATCTGCAAAAGTTATAAACTATACCTCAAGTTTGGAAGTCAGCACTCTAAAATGACTTTTCTGCACTTGAAAACACTGAGTAATGGAATGTGGGAAATCAGCCAGGAAACTAACGTGTGTTGGCCATGTCCCCTGCCCATTTCTAGATAAAGGTTAATGAACCTGGATCCTCTACCTTAGTTACTGTCCGTGGCCCAGAATGCACTCTGCACCCTGGGAGAGCTCAGCAAAGGCCTTTCACCAGGGGAGTAGACAGCCTGTTTTGAAGTTTTGTAAACATACTTCCCTCCAGTCACAGCCCTGAGCCAAGATCATGCCAGGCTGAGACTCTAGAGTCATGCAAAATATATAAACCAATGACTCAGCCGAACTCAACTGAAATGTTTAAGTTCCCACTGTAAATCAGAAACATCCCACCATTAGGATTATCAACCATTCTTTAAGGCTCTGTGCTGATTTCCTGAGGTGTGTGTGGGGGCGGCAAACGCTGAGTAGACTGCCCGGCTGTAGTAGTTGGAGTAGGGACTCTCACACCTGCAGCCCATCCTTCTTGTGAGCCAGAACCTCTTGTCCTAGCTTAGGCACAGTGACCCAACAAGTCCTTCTAACTTTTGAACTGCATCAGTCCAAGGGGAATTTTGGTGACTTTAATGCGGAAGTGGTAAAGTAATTTTTGGATTTAATGAAAGCATTTTTACATTCATGTGGAGTTGACTCTGTGCCAAGAACTGGGCTGAGTGCTGGTCATAAAGCTTATGACCACTCCGGAAGGCAGGTACCCTTGTGGTTCCTGTCTACAAGACAAAGAAACAGAAGTGCAGAGAGGTCAAGTTACTTGCCCAGGATCACCCAATCAGAAAGTTTTGAAGCCAGGATTCAAATCAAGCAGACGGCAAGAGATTTCCTGTTCATACTTGCTCTTCTGCCCATCCCATTGGGAAACACTGCTAGCTAGTTTCACCCTTCTGATTCTTTCCAGCATAAAATTCCCTACTCAATAAACTCCATATATTTTTTAAAGAATTGTATATAAGCTAAAATTTATGAAGAATATTGGCTGACTATACTGACAGAGACTTGCTTTTCAATATCCTGCTGCAGAAAATTCCCTTTTAAAGTAACTGCCTGTCCTAATACAGTGCCTTGCAAAGAGCAGGCATTTTATGAAAAAAAAACTTTTGGGTGACCTTGATGCCTCTTACTTGTGTAAATTTTTTTTGTACATTAATGAAACTTAAAATAAGGTATGCTTTGCTAACTGGAAAAAATAATGGAGGGAAAAAAAGCTACCAAGAGCAACTGCAGACCGTGGAGTGATTAATTCAGTGAATCATCAGAGGAAACAGGCGTACTGCCAGTGCTGGCCGTGGGCTCCATGCCACCCTCTGCTTTGATAGGGATGCCAACCCTCCCGGGTCCACTGACAGATCGTAGAGAAGAGGAACGGGTGGGGCAAGATGCAGCAGATCTGAGGGATATAATGTTCAGAGCACACAAGCTCTAATCTGCCTGCTTTCTTGCAGGTGTCACTTGTTTTCTACTTTTAGCAGGGGGTGGACTAATAGTTCAGTTTACTTATCTGTTCTTTGTCAATCTCAGGCTCTGATGACCCTGATGTGCAGACTGAGGGTTATCCACTGTTCAAAAGAGGTAGAGAAAGTCTTTATCTACTGTGTCCCTTGGGACCAGGGAGAACAAGGCATGGTAAATCATGTGCTGAGTGTGATGGGTCCCCTGGGGCTCACTCAGCAGATGTTGGGTGGGATCATCTCACCAGAACGCACCCTCTCCATTCCTATAGTTTAGCCACAGAATTTTCAGACAGCTAGGCAGAGAAAGAAAAGAGAGATTACCACACAGGGTGATTTTGAAAACTATCCTTAGAACTGACTGTGTGACACTGCCTATGCAGTATGACTACACTATCACCTGCAGGGCCCATTGATCCATCCATCCATCACTTGCCTATGTAATTATTCTACAAATTTATTGGATACTATGTTCTAGTCACCCTGCTAAGCACCAGAATTACTATTCTAAAACTGACCCCTACCCTGTTGACTTTGCCTTACTTCAGTTGACAAATTCATTACTCCAAAGAAGTTAGGAGTTTCACAAATTTTGCATTGCATTTTATTTTCTCTCAAATATTTTGAGTGCTCAAATTTCCATTATGCAGCTCAACTAACATAAGATACTTTAACTCAAGTTCGGGCCTGGTTTTAGAAAGGTGGCCTAGGTACCCTTCTCACCATCTGTAATTTCCAACAAAACCACCGTCCAGCCTCATCCTCCGATAGGATTTCACCCACTGGAAGCTGTGTGACAGAAGCATATACAAACAGGAAATGAATGAGGGGAACCTGGACAGACGGAGGAAGAGTAGTACAAAGCCTGCCCGGCCGGCCATGCACTCAAGAATCCAGTGAATCACAGGGAAAACACAGCTCAGGGGATCAGGAATCTCAATAAGCATAACTTGTCAGGATTGCCTTGATCCCGAGTCTTTCCCCAAGGTCAAAAGTGGTTCGGCATGTGCTGGAACATTTTCCCCAGAGGGGGTCTATTGCCTCATTTTAGAAACACTGCAATCTTACCAATATAGAGACCAGAACTCTATTTTAGATTCTCTATGCAATACTTCCCTGTGGCATCCCCCCCAACCCCTGCCAAATTTCTTTGGTAATATATATTCCACAGAAAATACCCATAGCCAGTAAGGCAGTCTCCACCATGAGTTCAGATTAAAGAACTACGAAGAATTAAGAATTAATGATTAATTCACAAAAACAAATGCTGTGTCCTCAGAACCAGTTAACTTTTCTGAGCTCAGCACTTCACCACTGTGCTTTGAAGGCGATTTCTTAGCAGGAGCTCCAAATTCTCATCATTTGTAAAATGACTGTGGAGACAATACCATAAGGTGTTGTTGGGAATAAATGAGAGCACAAGGGGGGAACACTGGGCTCAGTCACAGCCCATAGGAAGTTCGCAACATATTCAAATCCAAATACTCCCACTCTCAGTGGAGTTATGATTGCTTGTTCTGGGGACCTCTCCAGGTCCTGTCTACATGTTCAGGAACTTAGGGGAAGGCGAAGGGGCAAGACCAATTCTTGCCCCAATCCAAGAAGCAATTTTCCATCTGTTTCTTGGAAGTGCACCATAGCATCCTGTCTTATCCAACTAAAGGTTCCCAAGCCTTAAAAAAAAGTTTATAAGCTACAGTTGAGGTCTGCCACTGGTATCAGAAGATCAACCTCTCCACAGAGGTATTATTGATTATAGACTGAGAGGTCACATCAGGCATGACCAGTCTGTCCCTGGACAGCCTTGAACTCTTACACTTTGTGGCTTCGACCTCAGTGCCTTCCTCTCCCCTTGCTCCTGGATCCCACCTCTTCAGGGCACATTCTTCAGGAAGCTTTCTTTGTTCGCTCTGGTCCTGGAAAACCCACCTCACCAGTGTGGAATGCCTCCAGCCTCCTGCTTATACCTGTCACTTCACTCTTTCAGTCATTTATGAAAGTTTTATTGCTTCTCCTTGATTAGAAATTCTAGAAGGGAACAGGCTCCTTTTATGCATATTTGGGAGTATAAATGGTGGGTCTCAATTAGTATTGTCTGAAGAGGTGACTAAGTTGGACCAAATAACAGAGTTTAGAATTTGGGGGCAAAAAACTATACCTTTGAACAAACTCAGTTTCTGTTGTTGTTGCTATTGTTGTTAATTTACTGATATGATTCCCTGACTGAATAAAAAGATTAATACAGACATTTCTAATTGAGCTAATGAATTACTAAACACAGAGCATAGCCTGCAGCCATGTTGATAATGCCACCCCAGAAGAACTGGGCACTTTCTCCATTGTCTGAGGATAGCTCTGAGAATATCTTTAGGCACCTGAGTGCATGAATCAATTCATGGAGGAAGTGCTTCCTAAACCTTCCTTTCCAGCCAGACAAAGATTAGAATAGGGATTCCTATTTGGCTTGTTTCTTAACCTCTGGACTTCATTTTCTTATCTGTAAAGAAGACATAGAATAATGGTTGTCAGAAAGAGAATTACTTAAGAGGGTGTGGTAAAGCCAGGTGTTGGTCACATACCGAGTGTTGAACCACACTAACCGCTTAAACAAACACAGTGTAAATAATGAAATTGCACAGTTACATGGTAGCAATAAATTGTACCTAGTATGGTTTTACAGGAAAAGAAACACAGATCTGATGGTGTTTGATGACAGGATTTCAAACTTCAAGATTAGTTAAGCAAGTAACATCTTGGGGGATAAGCAGCCATCGGGGTTCCCTAATGTGACCCACAGTTTCTATGAATTCCTCTAGTTCTAACACTACCGCAACATTATATCTCATCCACATAAAGATTTTCAGGACTTTAAAAAAAGCTTACAAATGACTGCTGAGATCTAACTCTAGTTCTAGATGCAAGTATTTTTCAGAGTGACGCCCAGGATCTTCTTCACACAAAGGTACTGGTTACAGACTGAGAGGTCACAGCAAGCACTGCCAGGCTTTCTTTAGACAGACCCATAAATTCCCACACCCAGAAGGCCTCAAGCAGCCTCTACGCCACACCACCCTCTGCTCTCCCCTCACGTGGTTTCAATCCTCCATGTAGTTCCTCCAATAATTCAGCACATATCCTTTGCAGGGTCTTCTGCATCATTCTGATAGGGCCCTCCCTTGCTTCACAATTTGTCACAGGGGCCTTCTCAGACCTCTTCTTGCTAACTCTCATCACTTTTGTCTGCTTTGATTTTCTTCATTGTGGCCATCTGGCATTTCAAACCTCTATCTGTTCATTTGTTTTTCCTCTGCCTTCTCCAGTGATATCTGGTCACTCTGTTCACTGTGCACGCCCATCACTAGGCTTGTGCCTAGCCTGAAGACATGAAGTAAGGGCTCAAAAGAGAATTGCTGAATAAAAGAAATAAAAATGAACTAATGAATGAATGAATGAATGAATGGCAGACTGGGTGACACAAGAGGATGCTGCAATTGTTGCTGCCATTCCAGCAAGTGGGAAACTATCCACACACAAGCATTCAGGCGAAGTGTCTTACCCTGTCAAAATGGACGCAGGAGCGGGGATTTGGATTGAAGTTGCAATGGTGGTTGAGCTGAGAGAGTCTATATTTATAATAAAAAACTTTACAGTTGGATTCACAGCTCCTGCCTAAGGAAACAAACAAACAAAAAATCACAGCATTGATAATAATTTTTAAATCCTCATTGTTACATAAATTTAAAACTGTTAAAGTGCCTGACCATAGTCATAAAATTATAACAATCAGATGCCAACAAATAGTTCAATATAAATAAAATGAGCATAAGAATTGGGAAAGGCAATCTCTTCATGTTCCGGTGGAAACATGTATTCATGTGTATGTGCAATGCACAAGTTTATGTTTATAAACTCTGAAGGTCCAAAGCACTTTTATTTCAATAGTGGATGTATCTGTGTTCACAATTTATGCTTTTTGTGCCAGTGAGGATAAACCTCTTAAAAACAATTCTATCACTTGCAATTATATCCTGATTCTATAGGACAAATTTTGGGGAGGTTTGTGACTAGCACCTGGGGTTCTGTCAAAGACATAGTTCACCAGGAAGTCAGTCCAAGCCCAGAGCACAGAGCTAATTAGGCAGACATCACCATCTCCACTCCAAGTCCAGGTTCACCACGTTGGAGCTCGATAGTCAATATTATGACAGAAGCCTGTAAACTTTTAAAAAATGTACACGTAGATATTCCATTGACAGATTAGTTAGAAATAATATGATATTTTTAGTGAGAATATTTTATGGGTTTTTTTTTGCCAGTTTCACTCATCAAAAAATAACATTCCACTGAAAACATATCTCCATATTTAGTTTCAGATCTTTTTTTCCTTTTAACTTCCTCTCCCTTCCTAAAATGGCAGTTCTTCATAAAGCAAATTAAGTGAGTTGGTAAAAATAAATTTCTTTTTTTTTTTTTTCTAAATCATTTACAGTTAAATTTTTTTTGTTAGATTTTCCTGTAGACGACGCTGTGGCCATTTTTATTGCGGTGCTAAGTGAAGAAACCCCTCTTCCCTGGCTTATACTGCTTGACGAAGCTCCTGGATTTTAATAAAAATGCATCCTGGATGGCAGGGAACAATCTTGAAACCCAAGAAGCGACACTACTATCACAAATGTAGGGCGTGCAAAACTCACATCGGTGCCAAATCCATAACAGAACCACTAAAACTAGTCACGTACTGTATCCTGTTAATTAGTAATACAATCTGATATATAACCAAGCTTTTCAAGTTCAATTCGGGCTCATTCCAACTTCTACAAATGAGATGAGCTTCTGATTCAATTACAGCCTCTCTTTTCCTTCATTCAAACATTTCCTACCCCCTCCCCTACCTCTCTCAAAAGCATTTTCACCATCTTTTTCTGCTTGTCATTTCTCAAAGTTTTTGGAGAAATTACAAAACCTTAAATCACACTCTTTCCTGGGATAATAAAAATACTTTAAAATTGCCAGATGCTGTTGACTTCAGCAAGAGTAATCACAGCAAGCTGTTGAAGAGAGACTGACAATATTTTCATTAGCAGGAAGGGATTAAATGCAACCACTCTCTTCCCATCAAACCACAGATCCACTATGCGAACAGGGGCACAGACCTTTGGATATGGAATCCACACAGTCTTGGGGTACTGCAATGATTCATCAGAGTAGAAGGAGTATTCAATGAGTGGAACTCCTGTGTCGTTAAATTGGGCATATGCTAAAAAAGTGCCGTTTGGAGACCACCACAGAGCTGAGTAGGCACTGAAGACTTCCTCTGAAAAAAAGACATAAATTGTTCTGTTACAAGGAGCTGATAAATTGGCTTTGGCATTCAAAATATTGTTCTCATTAGCTTTAGTAATTAAAGTAGAGTTCAACTAATGAACCACTTCACATTTGCTGGGATTCCAAAATCAAAGTAATACAAATGAATAAAAATAAAATCTTCAAAGATGTATCTAGATTGTAAAAATAAGTCACCATTGGACTATTTTAGAATATTTTAGTATGCAATATTTAATACAAGCTCTATTTTTTCTTTATCTTATAATCCTCCAAATTTATGCCTCAAAAACATACTAAAAGTAAATTTCACACAGGAGGCTGATTTTCCTTTCTAATTTTCAAACATTCAACATGCCAGCACTCTCTCCCCAACTGGGCTGAGCTTTTACTGAGCCCACGGGGTACTGGTGGGTGGTGTGTAACTCTAGGCTATCAAACCAAGATGGTGCCCAGAGTTTACTACTCTTGGCACAAATAAGGTGTGGGAAGGATGGATTTAGAATGGCAAAAGCTCCATGGACCCCCAACTGGGAAATATCTCTTTTCCCTAGCCTACAATCTGAAAACTTCCTGGCTTAAACCCCTCCTCTGATATGTAGGGAAGAGGGGCAAAGATGGTGGCAAAGGAAAGAAAGATATTACTTTCAAGTACATTATTAGACTCACTTTCAGTCTCTAACAAAGGCAGCTTTTCCCTATGAGAATTACGGGATCTATTTATGGGGCATTCTATCTCTGGCTCTAAAAATGCCAAAATCTCTCTCACCAAATGGCAACAAAAGATACAAATTGCTGTAGTCCAACTCTGGACTACCTTCCACTGGTTCATGTGTTAAAGCACTGGTGATCTTACTAGGATGTGGTAAAAGCATTTAAAATGGGGCCCTCATGGAAGGAAGTTAGGTCATTGGGGTTGTGACTGTGAAGGGAACAATGGGACCCTAGCCCCTCATTTCTCTTTGCTTCCTTACATTCATGAGGCGAGTAAATCTTCTATCACATTGCCCTAGCATGGTGTGCTGCTGCAGGGACAGAACAATGTGGCCAAATGGCCAACCAATAGGGACCAAAGCATATGAAACCAGGAGTCAGAGTCAACCTTTCCTCCTTTAACCTCTTTACTTAGGCATTTTGTCACAGTAATGGAAATCTGATAAACACATAGGTAGATGGGCAGAAACTCTTATTTAATCCACACCTCATGTGGTGATAAAGTATGAGCATAAAGATCAAAACATAGAGGCTGAAATCTTAGGAAATAATATCCCATTCAGTGTTCTGATGATTAAAATTTCTTTGCAAGTGGCTGGAAAATACATTTTCCCCTTTTTCAAAAGATTTGGTTTTATTTTTAATGTGTGTATGTGTGTGTCTATGTCTTGGTATGTGCATATGAGTGCAGGTGCCCACAGAGGCCAGAGGCTTCAGATTCCCCTGGAACTGGATTTGTGAGCTGCCTGACATATAGGTAATTGTAAGCTACCTCATGTGGGTGCTGGAATCAAACTCAACTCAGGCCCTCTGCAAGAGCAGTATGTACTCTTAATTACTAAGCCATCTCTCCAGCCCCTCAAAAAAATTTTTTTTAATAATAGCAATAGCAGCTGCAGTAATAAAAATAACTAATATAATATAATAAATATGTATATGAGTATCTAACATTTGATGAGTATAGTGCCAGACATTCAGAACAACTGGCATTTATTTTTGCCAGGCAATCATCATCATAACCCATTGTACAGATAAACTGAACAAGGCAGGGAGGGCTAAAAGGGTTTTTTTAAAAAATCACCCTAGTCATATGGCTAATAATTGGGAAAATCAAGAATAAACCTGTCAGATTTGAAATTATGCTTCCCATCTCATATTACACAACCCCTGCCTGCCTCTTTTTCTGCCTTTTAAATCACAGAAAATCTATTACCTCATATGGATGCCTACTCCCTCTTTGATTGCTTCATGCCTGAATCATTGAGCTACATTTATGCAGCCATTTAGACTTTATAAACCACATCCATTTTGGTCTCCACAGAGACCCAGGTGAATCTATTCCAGGTTCATATCACAGAGAAGAAAATCAAGATGTCAAGAAATTAAATGAAATTTAATTAGACAAGAACTATGACTCATGTCTTATAACTTGAATTCAAAAGTTTCCACTATGCATCTTTCCTCTACTCATTCCACATAGCCTTTACCCGCTGATTCTTGTCTATAATACATCTGCAATAGTATAAAATCCATATAATTAGAGTAAGGTTTTTTTTTTTATTACTTTTAAACAGTGGTAACAGGTAGAGGATACAGTTAGAACCATGCTTGAATTAGTACTTATTTGTAAGGCAGAGCATAGTTTTCCATATTGACAATGAAGTGAGTTCTCTTGAGGGACTGAGATTCCACATTTAGAGGAAAGGCTTTACGACAGTCCTGAAGTCATTGTCCTGAACATAACGGCTCAGATGTGAATATGCCAAAGGAGATCCTCCAGTTAAAATTCCCTTGGAGAAGACCATCAGGGTTAGCTAGGCTCTTCTCTTGGTAACACCTAGCTATTTCCAAGAAGGACTACAGCTTGGGGAATGGGACACACCTGCTCAATGTTCAAGGTTCTGGATCTTCATCATTGGGCTGTATTTACATTAGGGAACTTATTTCATCATAAGTTTTAATCAAACACTTATTTCAGGGCAATGAAAACTTATCTTTCTCTGAACATAATTTCTGGTTGTTGTCGTATGTTATCCATTAAATGAACTTGATTTGGACTGGGTAAGAATCAAAATTAAATCATGAAGTAAAACTGTTTTTTAACTTTGAAGAAGAAATAGGTTGAAATAAGGATGATCTTTCTAACAAACGTGAGGCAGCCTCATGAATGGTTTGGAATGGCCTCGAAATGCTTTTATCTTGGCAACTAACACATGAAAAATGCTTTTTGAATATTTTCTAAGTTTCAAATTGCTTTCCTAGTAAAGCTCTTTATCCTCAGACAGAATATTCCTTTTAAACTTTTTTAGTTTTGTTTTCTGCTTATTTTTCCTACACCTTCCTAATCATTTTTTTTCTTCTTTAAAAAATAGGAAATCAGGTTCCTCCCAGGTTTGAAAGAACATGAATCCTCTCTTAAATAAGCATTTTCCTTTCTTTACTCTGTAACCTGCAGACAATGTTTTGTCATCTTTTTAATATCATTGAAGTATTTAGCATTCCTTAGCAGCTTATGGGCTGGAGAGGCCTCTTTAGAGAAACATCTGATGTTAACCTGGAGGCTTTTATGCCCTAGAAAAGCCAGAAGAGCTACCTACATAGAAAGGCCCTTTGTGGTAATAAACCAAAGACAAGGTGGGTATTGTGAGATAATGGGGGCAGAGACAGTGCTCTCTCATCTGTGTGATACCTGTTATTTAAGTTCTGAAAGATAATTTATGGTATTTTTAAGTATACAGCTTATTTTTAATTCTACTGAATGCCCCCCACTTTTTATATGGAAATGTTTAAGTATTCTTAAAAGCTACAGACTTTCTGATTAAAGGTTTAGTCTCTACCTTCATAAACCCAGTCAGTTATTCCATTATATATTAAATCTTCTTTCCCAGTCCATGTGATCCTCTGACTAGGTAAATTTGGTTCAATTTTAACATAAATGTCATTCTTCCAAACATATGCCTAAAAAGATGAAAAAAACATATTGGTATCAATAATAGCATGCTATAATATGTTTTATCTTGGGATCTTAAAATGTTATGCACGTTTGAGGATTACCATAATTAGAGAGTCAATTTGAGAAAGACAAGTCGTTTATGTTCTTCCTCCCATTCTTAAATTACAAGTGTACAAACTGTAATCTCTAAGTAAAATAAAACATTCCTAATACATTGAAACAAAAAGCCTTACTGTCTGGATGGTGAGGTGTGCTTACTAGTGTACTGACCACCTGCACAGGATGACGAATGTTTGTGTATCTCTTGTTTGGGAGGGTTGGTGGAGGGAATGCAGTTGCATTCTTGGAGAGGGAAGTTCAACTGCAGAAAAACATTCCATCTTGTTATTTAAATTCTTTTGGGTTTCTAACATTCTTCTAGCACCATAGAATATGAAGATACATCAACAGTGATTTTGAAGAAAGCAAGTGAGACTCTAAAATGTCTATATGAAGAAGACAAGTGGAACTTAAGGATTTAATAAGCATTTTTCCAGTGAAAACACTAGCTCTCTGATAGATGTTTGGAAACTTTCAGGAATTCTTTTTATTGCTTTTGGCTAATAAAATAATGTCTTGGGTAATGACACCATATCCTAGTATAATGAATGAGTGGGCTTTCAAATATGTCTGCTTGACACTAGGGTGAGTTGCATCTGTCTATAAGATTCTAGCCAGCATTTTTCTGACAGAAGTACACTGACCAGTTTATGACCTTCTTGTGACCATGTGATCCACTGTGTATTGTTTGGAATTCTCTCTTCTGTAATCAGCTTCCTGGAGAAAAGTTAGAAGGACGCATTACCAAAAGAATAACAAACTATGAGATTTACCTTAAAAATTACACTAGAAAAGCCTAATAGACTTTATGGGGAATCACTGACCTTTTATTTAAGTCATAAATATCATATGAAGCTGTGTAGGAATGCCTCCATTGCTATAAAAGAAAACAGACAGCTCAGTATTCTGTAATCTTGATAGCTTGGTCCCTTACTCCAGGTAAGAGGACTGGTAACAGGTTACTGTATAAACCTCAAGTTTTATCACAGATTATCACTCCCTAGATTCTTAGAATTTTGTAATTTTAAAGTATTCTGAAGACCATGTAGTAAAAACCCCCGAGGACTTTATTCATAATTTAACTTTGTCATCACTTCCTCCAAAGACCATTCCCTGGATCACTGTGGGCCAAAGTACCACATTTTTGTGTGTGACATCATTCATAGCATAGGATAGTAACACTGCCTGCTTAGGAACACTCAAAAGCTCACTTTTTACCCATCTTACTTGCAAAATATTTAAAGTATTTTGAACTCTGTTGGTGGTGGTGATGAAGAGAAATGTTTAATGTTTTGTACAATGATAATGAAAGTGTTATATTTTTTAAAGCTATCTGGATATATATATATATATA